GGGGGTAACAAGTTAGAAATCACGAGGGTCTGCTTTAGTATTTTCAGGGTGGGTCGATGGGCAGGTGAGGGACGGGTGGGTGGTCGGCAATCGGCGCAAGAGTTCGGGAAAGCAGAATGAGGAGGTTATCAGCGGTCGGGAGGGAGGCTTCAGGGGGTTGTACCGTAAGAAGAGGAGAGATGGCACCTCCCCAAGAAGTGGAGAGATGACACCCCCCTAGACCGATTTTCAAAGCTCGATTGCTCCACAACCAAGATTGTCTGCACCGTACCGTATACCGTACCGTGGTATTTCGTAAGAGGCGGAGAGATGGCACTCCCCCTAGACCGATGCTCAAAGCTCGATTGCTCCACAACCAAGATTGTCTGTACCGTACCGTATACCGTACCGTGGTATTTCGAAAGAGGCGGAGAGATGGCACCTCCCCTAGACCGATGTTCAAAGCTCGATTGCTCCACAACCAAGATTGTCTGTACCGTACCGTATACCGTACCGTGGTATTTCGAAAGAGGCGGAGAGATGGCACCTCCCCTAGACCGATGTTCAAAGCTCGATTGCTCCACAACCAAGATTGTCTGTACCGTACCGTATACCGTACCGTGGTATTTCGAAAGAGGCGGAGAGATGGCACCTCCCCTAGACCGATGTTCAAAGCTCGATTGCTCCACAACCAAGTGGGTGCGGAAAGAACCCGATACATCTACGGAAAGCCCTCGACGAGATGCTTCCAGAACCTCCATTATTGGTGTTAGCACAACCCTGGTTGCCGTCTCTCCGCCTCTTGCAGTATGATGAGAATCCTCCTGTCTTAAGCAACTTGTGTGCACGATAGTATCGCTGGTGTGCAAATCGTGGGTAAGTTCTGACTGCAAATCACATCACTCGTACTCCCACGACGTCTTCCTTGACGTCGGTGTTGCTGATGCCAGAATGTACATGACCTACGGCAAGGAGAGGCGGCTCATCTCGTTCCCGGTATGGCTAAATAGCAGCAGAGCGAATCTAAAACATGCGGACTGCGGTTCAGGCTTTGCTGCCAGACTGATGATATTGTTCTCTCCATCTCACACACTGCTAGACCTGCTGTACTGGTCTCTGAAAAAGTGTTCCCGTGCTTAACAGCGGTGAAAGTGGCACCGGGATGTGTATGCTGCTACTGCTGTAGGCTGCGCCGTTGCATCATGGTCGTGTTCACTTCAACAACAACAGGACAAACAGCGGCGTGTTAGACTTGCATGGACCCACCCACGACGCTTTCCTACTGCTGTAGCTCGTGCGTGTTGTGTGTTCGATCTCTGTCAAGGTGTCACCGCGGATGCGTTGTTGGCCGAACGGAAGATACGAAGGTCGACCAAAGCAGTACTGTTGCCGGCGTGCCGTTCAGTACCTACAACAGGAGTAGTCCTACCTACCCAGGCAACCGGCCGCCCGTTGTACTGGTCGTTGCTCCAAAGTTGGGTCTTTCGCCGGAAGCGCTTGCGTGCATCAAATCAGCCCGATACCCCGATACAAAGGGCGTGCAGGCAAATGTTCTCATTTGTTAACGTCTAGAGAGAAAAACTGTCGTGCTCTGTCATGGTATCGCACACAGAAGTACAATCCGCGAAATCAATCCGTGGCGTTACTACTGCTGTACTCCTCTGCAACAAGGTGCCTGCTGCTGCTGTTGACGACTTTCCAACTCACCCCTTCCATGGCAAGCTGCACGAAGTTCCGGCAAGCCTTGGGACACTCCTTTGCCCACAGCTCGACATCAATGTCCCCGAAGGACGTGTGGAGAAGTACCTTGCCATGGGTGGCCGGCTCCGTGAGGTAGATACTCGACATCTTGCGGCAGCGACCTGCATTGATCTCGGCAGCGCTCCACACTTCTAACGGGGGGCCCGTGAATCGAAAATGTGACTGGTCATATACGTGGCTCATCAACGATCCCCTACCTCTTGCTTGGTCGAGGCGTTGGGGCAGGCTCTGCGCACTCCCTCAAGGACACACTACACCTGCCACCGGTCGCGCCTCCGGCGGAGGTCGCGCACAAGGAGAGGAGTCATGGATAACTCCGGCATCGACAAGGTAGGCCGGGAAAATGCTATGGAATCTCGTACCATCTCGAGATAAATAGTTGGGATCACCGCGCTGCTGCTGTTTCCAAAACCTGCGCACTCTTGTGTGCGGGGTGGGGTGTGCATGCTCTCGTTTCAAAATGCTGCAACGTGCCGGCGCCCGCGTGTGCCCAAAGACCTTGCTCCAGGATGGTCAATTTAGGACTAGGGACGCCAATCTGTTGCGACCAGTGTCGAGCCGTCGTTTTGTAAGGGATCCCTTTGTTTGGAGAGAGCTCCGTCTCTCCTCGCCAGAGGACCGACCTCCTCCTCTCTCGACGCTCCCCGTTTGCCAGTTGCCGGCTCACATCTGCTCCTGTGAAACAAGCAGATCGCGAACTGCCCTTGCTTCCCCCAAGTCAGGAAGACTATACTACCTATGTCGGGCATGTACTACACTCATGACTGTGGTACTCTTATGTCTCCTGTCCGTCGGTTGTTGTTGTTGTTGTTGTTGTTGTTGTTTCGCACATTAGCTCATAGTCCACAAAAAATGGGGAGCCCGTGATCTCAAAACCCGTCACATTTGCGTACGACGCCGCGGGGAAACACAAAAACAAAAATAGGGTTGTTGTTTGCTGTTGTTGTTTCTCACATTGGCTCCATAGTCCACAAACACTGGGGAGCCCGTGGTCTCAAAACCCGGCACATACGACGCCGCGAGAAAACAAAAAAAACAAAAATAGGGTACAAGTCACCCGGAAAAAGAAAACAAAATGATAGAAAGAAAAGAACAGGTATGGCACCGACCGTTCGAGAAAAGAGCCCTCGGAAACCAATCAAAATACAACAAACACAAAAATAACACAAAAATAAAGGAGGACGCTTCCCACACCCGCCGGAAAAAAAACCAAAGGGTAACGTACCAGCACCAGGCACTACGCACCAGGGCATGGGAGTAACAGAGCAAACAGGACAAAGAGGCGGCAGATGGGCAGACAGCCAGACGTACCAAAACAAAGGCAACAGCAAAGCGAGATCAAGGTACCCAACACAGCAGAGTAGGCAGGGAGGTCATGAAAAACAGAAACACGGCACAGAGGCCGAAGGCAGGGTGTGTTGGTACATCTATCGTGCATGAATGTGGTGGGAACCTAACCCTCCGTTGTGGTAACCTAACGACCTCACAGGAGATGGAGGAGAGCTGGCGGGATGTGGACCCAGCGGGGGATGTCCAGCAGGGCGGCGCAGCACACCAACGCCGCAGCGTCCTTAACACGGGTGAGGCCGGGGCACAACCTCCGCCTACTAGGAGCGCGTTGATGCTCATACAGACGCGGTTTCTTTTGTTTTGTTGCCACCGATCATAGGCATGCACATTATCTTTCTGTATAGAACAGTATTGAAGAGAAAACAGCAATGGGGCCCTCCCGTGCCGTGTGGTGTGTCCCGAGATTTTACCGGCACTGTTGTACCGGGCAGCGGCACTATTCAGAGTACTGAAGGACCTGGTATTTCAGGTGTGTGCGAGCCAAAAACTTTTGTTAGGAAAAGTAAATACACAGACAGAGGACGACCCGCTAGAGATATACCCACAGCAGCCAACCGGTCGCCCCGGTGGTCTAGTGGTACCCTCGAAAACCGCTATTTAGTTGCAAAGGGTCGTGAGTTCGAATTTCTACGGCGGTGAAAAATTTGCAAACTTTGCGGGTGAAAGCGAAACTTGCTGACAAGCTCTCGTGAGTACCAAACTTCGACGTTAGCACCGTTGACGAGGGGAAGGGACGGCTGGACCCTTCCCGCGATAAAAATAAAATTCAGTACGCACCGCTGGAGGAAGGTGGGGCATGAAAATAAATAAAAACGAAGAAAAAAGCCCTGGTGTTCACCTCCTCCTGTGTGACCCTGGATGGTTGTATTTGTACGAAAAAATACACCGAAAAGTGTAGTACTCTATACACGCTGAAAACGTGTAGTACACGTCTCACCGCGAAAAATGGGGGGACTGTCGCCATANCCGCGATAAAAATAAAATTCAGTACGCACCGCTGGAGGAAGGTGGGGCATGAAAATAAATAAAAACGAAGAAAAAAGCCCTGGTGTTCACCTCCTCCTGTGTGACCCTGGATGGTTGTATTTGTACGAAAAAATACACCGAAAAGTGTAGTACTCTATACACGCTGAAAACGTGTAGTACACGTCTCACCGCGAAAAATGGGGGGACTGTCGCCATAATAAATAGGACTAAAACACACACAAAACACACACAAAACACACAGCCGAACGGGATGTGGTGGAGTCTTTTCAGTGGGTGGATGAAACCCGGCTGGGTACTGACTTGTTTCGAGCCTTCGTAAGAAAACACCGGCACTAAACCGGGCACTGGCGCTACTGTTCAAACGGCACCGTTGACGGTCGGCCCCCAACTGCTCCTGCTGTGGTACCCAAGCGGACTCGGACAGAGCAGGCACATTGACGCCGTGCACCGCATCCGGCATCGTTGCGAGTCCCACCCGAACCACTTGGTACCACATGTGTGCTCATGCCACGCGTCATGCAAAGGTTGAAGTGGCCGGAAGGGAGCATCGGGGGCAGTGTGGTTTTTGTAGGTTACCACCAGCAGTCACGCCTTTCTTCGAGATGCCACACACGCTACGGAGTTTCTCGCATGTGTCGTCGGTATGTATGCAGCTGCGAAGAATACATTCGGCTAGCTGTGGTATTGGTCTAGTATTGTTTTCTCGAACGGGTGCTCTTTCAGTCATTGCATGTATGTTTCCTAAACAATCCAAGGCGATGCAAGTCAAAAACCGCCTCCTGACGTCGGTGCAGCATAAGCGTAGGCGATACAACTGCGTATCAACGGCGCAGCAATTTTAACTCTTCACGGCTATACCGTACTTGAACCAGCGCCTCAACTCCTCAAAACCCACCGTGTATCAACGGCACAGCAATTTCAACTTTCACGGCTACACCACACCTGAACACCCTCCTCCTTCACTCCTCAAAAACCGCCGCATATAAACGGCACAGCAATTTCAACGGCTACACCTCACTTGAGCAATCGCCTCCTCAACTCCTCAAAACCCGCCGCATGTAACGGCACAGGTTTAGCTCTTCACGGCTACATCACACTCAAAACAACCAACCCCAACTTCCCTCTCTCACGGCTACGTACTTACACCCGTGCTCTCCCCCACCGCACAGGCCGCGAGGCGTACCTCCGCACGAAGCAGATGCTCGACGAGGCCTCGGCCGTGAGCAACACGCTATTCCTGGACGAAGACGACATGACGCGCCGGTACCAGCGGGCCTACGAGCGGGAGGACGCCTTGGATGCCGCTGCCGCCGGCGCCGCCGCTGGCGGTAGCGGCGCGGGCGGTATGCCCGGCGCAAACAGCAGCAGCGCGTCGGGTTTCTTCAACGAGGGCTCGCTGTTCTTTGCTCCCGCGGGCGGCGACGGTAGGGGTTCTTCCTTAGGAGGGGGAGGGGGTGTATTGGCGGCCGTGGCGGCGGGCAGGAGTCCGCCGCCGCCCGCGGTGGAGATTCGGCCGGAGGAGAAGCAGTTTTGCGAGGCGTTCCTGGAGCTGCAGGCCTTGCTGGTGAGAGTGGCGGCGGCGGCGTAGTGTTAGCGACGCTCTCGATGTACAAGGTAGAACGCTTGCGTAGTTCGCTGATCCCTACCACCCGGCTGCAGTAGTCAGCAAGAAGGCAACTTCAGTGCACTCGATGTAGTATGCTTACGTAGTCCCTGATCCACACACACGGTTACAGCAGAGGGAAGGAAGAAGGCACAGAGCAGGAAGTACCCCCCAACGGTTTGCTCCGTACCCTATGATACTGAGGCAGACATGTGTCATGTCATCAGGAGAGTCTGAAGATGCTGGCAGCGGCGAGGCCGCACCGACTCACGAGGGAACTCGAGACGGTCATCGACGACGTCCTCACCAGGCTGGAGGAAACGAAAAAATAAATGGTCACAGAAAAAAGTGTCGCAGATTCCTACCTACGTCAACCCTCCAAGCCGAAATCAATCGTTACCTCGTTGGGACCAGCCGAGGGGGGCGGGGCGGGGGGGGGGTGGAGGAGGACGCAAGAGATTGCCTGTTTGCTACCTCCGAGCGACTGCCTGAGCCTCCGTATGTTGGGCTCCCTCGTCGCCTCCTACATTGGTCTCTGCGTTCGTCCTGGGCGTCGACCGGGTCCTGTACGCGGGCAGCTTTTGCTGGGTAGCTGCCAGTCGCCGGGTAGCCGCCACTCGCGGCGACTGGCAGCTACCGCGACTGGCAGCTACCCAGCCAGGGCTGCCCGCGTACAGGACCCGGTCGAAGCGCGGGCCGAACGCAGAGACCAATGTAGGAGGCGACGATAGAGCCCAACATTCGGAGGCTCAGGCAATCGCTTGGGGGTACACGGGTACACAGCAACAGGACACCTCCTGCGCCCTCCTCCACCCCGGCGCCGCCCCCTTTCCCCTCGGCTGGTCCCACCGAGGGATCGATTGATTTCGGCTTGGAGGGTTGACGTAGGTAGGAATCTGCGACACCTTTTTCTCTGTCACTTGTACGTTTTTTTTTTCTCATTTTTTCCAATCTGGTGCTGACGTCGTCGATGACCGTCCTGAGTTCCCTCGTGAGTCGGGGCAGCCTCGCCCCTGCCGGCATCTTCAGACTCTCCTGACGACGTGAGAAATGTGTGCCTCACTGTGATATGATGTGGAGCTAACCGCTGAGCGCGAGTATGCGCCAAGTAGATGGAGGGAGACAAGACTGACCCAGGAACCTACAGGGGGATCACACTGTTGAACACAACAGGAAAAGTGTTCGGTAAGCTGCTGAACGATAGGATAGTTGGAGTATTGGAAAAGGAAGGTAGGATAAGTGAAGACCAAGCAGGATTTCGAAAAAAGCGGGGGTGCGTAGACCACGCATTCACGGTAGGGGGAATCATCCACGGTAGAGAGAGGGCGGGGAAGCCGACGTACTGCTCCTTTTTGGACGCGCAAAAGGCAAGCGATACAGTAGTATGGAGAAATGCGCCGTGGAAACAATATTCGAAGTATGGGATAAAGGGGGGGAAAATGTGGAGAGTGCTGAAGAAGATGACCAAGTGTACAAAAAGAAGCGCTGTCATGCTAGACGGAAAACTGCCTAAATTCTTGAACATTGAGCAGGGGATCCCACAAGGTTGCAGTTTGTCCCCAACAGGTTTTAATCAACGATCTGTTGAAAGTCGTAGAGGCAGTTAGGAAGGGGGGAAAGGTAGGGGACACTTCGGTGTAGGGAATGCTGTTTGCGGATGGATTTGTTTGGATGTCGGACACCCCCGGGGGACTTGAACCGCACATCGACGCAGATAAGGGTTTCGCTGATAGGTGGACATTGTCTGCCATGCAGTCATGGTATGCAGCGAGGACGGGGAGAAACCAGTAGAACATAGATGGAAGTGGGGGGTCGAGGAGCTTGCAGTCGTGGATCAGCACACATATCCCGGAGTTGAGAAATCAAAAGACTGTTCGTGAGATGCACACATGTCGAAGGTAGCGGAAAAGGGCAAATCACGAGCAGGGAAGTTGCCCCCGATACTCGCACACCGGCACCTCGATACACGCATCAAATTGACGCTTTGAAGAGCGTAATCATGCCACCGCTAGAGTACGCCGGAGGAGTATGGGAAGAAAATAAAAAGGTAGTCAAAGAGCTCGAGGCGGCGCAGATGAAAGCAGCGAAATTCATCCTAGGATGCTCCAAGCTGCACAAGTAATGCAGGAGTCAGGGCAGAACTGGGTATCCAATCCCTACGATGAGGAAGAGACGCGAGGAAGTTAAAATGGCAGTATCGCATGTGCGGTATGGGAGAGGAGAGGTTGCCGAGAATAGCTTGGGAGGCGAAGCGGGCAAACAAGCAAGCAGGGGGGTAGACAACCCACGGAGGGGGTCAAAGGGTTGTCGTGACATGTGGAAGGAGTTCGAAATTGACGAAGGTGATACGCTGGAAACGGAAGTTCTGGAGGGGCTCAAGGAAGATATATCTGTTGCTTTTGCCAAGAGAAAACAGAATGTAAGGAAATAAACCGAGGGTAAGGAAGATTTAGATTTGTACGGAATTTTGAAAAATGCAACAGGGTCCAAGGAGTACCCACATGGACCAATGGATGCAGGGGTAAAGCTGAAGGTCAAATTTAGGTTTGGGGACATTGACCTTCGACAACGTCGCCGAAGATTTAGGAAGGTAGACGATGAAGACGCCAAGTTCAAATGTGAATGCGGCCCCGAGTCCGAAGACCGGGTTCATGTAGTTGCGGAATGTCCGCTGTGCAAGAATGCAAGAAGGAGAGGGCAGTGTAGGTGGCTGAGCTGAGAAAAGTAACAAGAGACCGGGAGATGTTTGAGGCATGGAATAGCCAGGAGAAGACGGTAGCTGCGCTGGGGCATAGGAAGTGGGCTGAAGAGGCGAGAAGTGATGTCGTTAGAATAGATGCGCTGGGGAAGACCACCTTTGGTAAAGTAGGAAGGAACGATTAGTCGTCGGTGATCGGTCCTGTGGGAACAATGCCCCGTTCTCTCGAGGACAACTGGTCAATGATCTCACCGCTAAGGCGTGGAAAACATACGAGTTACGCCCCCCGCCCCCCCCCCGGAGCGCGCGCAAAGACCGAAGTCCCTTGCAGTACTTGGAACTGTAGTCGTGCCTGCTGAGTGAAACGTTTGGTTAGCCGGGATGCCCACTCAACACATGTCCTATCTGGTTTGGCGCAGCAAACGCAAGGATAACCACCAGCTTGTGGTTCGTCCTTGTAAAGCGTAGCCTGGGCCGGCGAAAACCCCCCTCGCATATCGCTCGGACCCGGCATTGCAGTGATGCGACTATAATACTGCGAGTTCAATGGTCTAACGACCAATTCATTGGATGAGTACCCCCCCGGGAGTTAGCCCCCCCCCTCCCCCCCCCGAGAGTAGGATACACCCGAAAATGGAGACTGTCGGCGAACGTAGGAAAATGCGCGGTAGTGGTCTGTAACGAGGACAAGAAAAATCCCGTAGAGTTTAAATGAAAATGGGGGAAGGAAGAACTACCGGTAGTAGACAGATATACGTACCTGGGAGTAGAGATTTCGAAGGAGTGCTCATGGGACGCACACATAGCAAAGTTGATTGGGAAGGGTAAAGCTCAGATAGGCAAGATGGACGAGATCCTTACGGACCCACACCTAGACACTAGGATTAAGAGGTGTGTTTTCTTGAATGTGATTGTACCTAAGCTAGAGTATGCAGGAGAGGTATGGGAAGGTAACGAAAAGGCCGTCAAGCAGCTGGAAACGGTGCAGATGGCAGCGGCCAAGAAAATACTAGGAT